GTGAGTGAATGAGGATTATGGTGAATTTTGATTTTGATGCAATATACTTTGGCAAATTTATGTGAAAAAATTGGGGGAATTGACTGTGTGAATGAGGAATGTGAATTTTGGTTTAGATGCAATAGTCGTAGGCTGAGTTCTGTGAGGTGAATTGACTGTGTGAATGGAGGTGAAATGTAATTTGGGTGTGAATTGGTTTGGGGCTACTTTATGGATATTAGGTTAATGGTAGGATTGTTTTGTAATTTTTTAGACTTTAATTGTAACATAAAGTAATAGTGAGACACACATTTAATTATTAACAATTTATTATATTAAATTATCAATAATTTAATAAATATAAAGATAGTGATAAATAATTCTTAAGATCTAAAGCCGAAGTTGAACACAAATGAATGACTTTTTAAACTTTGAAAATTATATTTGAATTAACGTATAAAGTTTCAAATCGAAAATATTATTTTGGCCAACTTCGATTGCTAATGTGTAGTCTGTGAGACATTAATGTGCTATTTACTTAACAATAATGTGTATGGATTTGGTCGTAAATGTACGACCGTGAGATGAATCGTACCAATTGTATTTTTTTTTTTTATCACAATCTAAATTAAAATCGAACATAAATGATAAATTTATTCGGTTAGCTATTCAATTTAACTGAAACAACTGAATTAACTTAGTATGTATATTTATAATATTGTAGACAATATTTTAAAATTAAGAATAAAAATAGATAATTGTTAATAATGTAAAAGTTCGAATCGAACATTTTAATCTTGTCATTTGTGGTCGCTATTGTATAAAAAATTACAAAAAATATTTTTAATATAGTTTGGTTTTTATTTTGTTATTTTAATAAAAAAAGACATCAAACTGAAATTTCCTGATATAAAAAAATAATTGAACGAAAATATAAAATTTCGTATCGAATTTATGTTTGTCGGATATCGTTTAATTTGGTGCAATCTGATAGACATTTATGTGCAATCTGTATAACCCTAATGTGCACTCATAAAACATAAAACATGTAGATAAAAAAAAATAGTACCATTTATTACACAAATATATAAATATCTCAAAAGAAATCGGCAATATTTTTCATATAGTTCGGCTATTTTGTTTATCTAAAAATTAGCTAAATCTGACATTAACCAACTAATATTGTTCGATGGATCATTAGAATTATTGATCATTAGAATTACTGTAATGTTAGTATGCGAAACGTGTTGTGTTATAAGGTGCAACGTATTGCTGTATAAAGTGCAAGGTATTAATATATAAAGTGCAATATTGAAATTCTGGAATTTTAACATAATTGTTTTTTTTTCTTATAATGTGATGGATAGTAAAGTATTATGTCACTCCGTTTTTTATATTTATATTGCGTGATATTTTGTCCGGAGTTGTTGACTAATTGTGGTGAGTGGTTATAAAGTGCAACAGATTGTTTTATAAAGTTCGGCGCGTTGTCTCATAAAGTGCATTAATTTATACTTTCTCGTGTGTATCCACTAATATTAACTAAATCTGACATTAACCAACTAATATTGTTCGATGGATCATTAGAATTATTGATCATTAGAATTACTGTAATGTTAGTATGCGAAACGTGTTGTGTTATAAGGTGCAACGTATTGCTGTATAAAGTGCAAGGTATTAATATATAAAGTGCAATATTGAAATTATGGAATTTTAACATAATTGTTTTTTTTTTCTTATAATGTAATGGATAGTAAAGTATTATGTCACTCCGTTTTTTATATTTATATTGCGTGATATTTTGTCCAGAGTTGTTGACTAATTGTGGTGAGTGGTTATAAAGTGCAACATATTGTTTTATAAAGTTCGGCGCGTTGTCTCATAAAGTGCATTAATTTATACTTTCTCGTGTGTATCTGAAAACTAGTTTTAATAAATATAATTTTACATCTAACTAACCTAAATAATTAAAATATATTTTCATTTATTATTTTTATTATATAATGTAATTATTATTATAAATTAATTTAATATTTTATATTATTTTTATTTAATAATTTATTTGTTATTTAATATATATTATTAAATATGCCTAACAAATTATATAAAAAATATTTTTTATTAACTTTTAATATTTACAGATTTGACCCATGGTTAAATTGAAATATAATTAAATTACTAAAAATTCAAATAGGTCCTTAGACTTAATCAAATTCTCAAAAGAAGGGCACACCCTCATACGTCAATTTCAGATCTTCACAACCCCTCTTATCACCATCTTTCACGTCGGCGAGGGCGTGGCTCTAGTTGCAGGAGGCGGCGGACGTCAAGACCACGACGATTAGGTCGAGAAAGCAGTGTTCCGGCGAATGTCGGGCTACGACGGCGGAGGTTGAGGCATCAGGGGTTGCAGTGGATGTCGGTCTGAAGGTGTGAGGAGCAGACGACGACGACGGCGTCGCGATAAAGCCTCTCCCGTCGCGATTGAGACGTGCTCGACAACACTGTTGTTGCGGATCTGATGCGAGGGTCTGGGCGGCGGGGCTGCGACAAACGTCGAAGGAACATCGGAGGAATGATGCGTCTGGTGGTTGTGCGGCGACGATGGGTGGAGTGCCGGAGAGTGATCGGAGATGAACTGTGCAGTCGTTT